AGCAGGTAATTAATACTAGGATTAATTAAAATAACAGAATAATTAGACATCATTTTACATCAAACATTTTACGTTTTGTAGTAAATTAAAGTCATAATCAAAACATTTTATTTACCAACCAAATTAAGAAATAGTTAAACTAAATAACATTAAACTTTTTGTCAAAGTAAGTGTTCGATATATCCACCATTTTCGTTAATTCATTTGTCAATACATTCCATAAAATATAATCTCATATTAAATAGCATCATTCTAAAGGAACTGCTGAAGTACTGAGTTTTTTCTCTGTTGGTGGAAATACTAATTTCAGGGCTTTCTTGTGTAGTGAGAAAAAACCCAGTACCTTCCGCTCGATTACATATACAGCCAAAATAACAACAAAAATAGCCAAAGACATAAAAAAGAAAGGAATAACACCAGCTTTCCGAACAAATAACAACCTAGGCAAATATATTAAAAATAACAAGAGCCAAAATAAAAAACACTTAAATAGTGGTGTGTACAAACTTCAATGTAGCCACTGCCCAAAAACTTACATCGGTCAAACTGGTAGAAACTTTAATAAACGAATAGCAGAACATAAAATGGCTTTTAATAATAGAAAAACAAATTCAACATACGCACATCACCTTCTAGATCATAGTAATTCTTTTATTGACAAATTTAAAATTCTTCACATTTAAAATAAAGGTCTTAAGCTATCTTTGTTAGAATCTATGGAAATCAACAAATTAAAAAGCACAGATAAAATTCTGAATGACCAACTTGAGACAAACAGTTTTCCCCTCCTCAACCTATTTCATTAGAGACTTTAAATTGTAAACGCATGCCAAAAATAGATCACTTGAGGAAGGCAATCAGCCGAAACAGCTGTAGTGATAATAGTTAAAATAAATTTTGTGGAAGTTTGAAAACAAAGTTTTCAGTGTTTTATTGTTACATAAAATGAATTTCCATCAAGTAACGGTCGAATCCATCAAATATTTCAAATGCTTTATATTGGGTGCCAAAAACCTGGGTAGGTTTATATTGGGTGTCAATATTGTGAAGAGCCGTAAGCTGGAGTACTTGAGACATATAATGAAAAATCAAGGCAGATACGAGCTACTCTAATGCATTTTGCAGGGTAAAATTGAAGGAAAAAGAGCCTTAGGACGAAGAAGATTAACCTGGCTTGCTAACCTGAGAGCATGGTATAGAAAGAAATCAACACAGCTATTTCGTATAGCAACCAACAAAATCATCATAGCCAGAATGATCGCCAACGTTCGGAACGGACAGGCACCCTAAGAAGAAGAAGCTACAAACCAAAATCGATTTTTTATGTTATAAATTTTGAAGACTGATCTCCGGCAATGGAAATTTCACTACAACCGGTCAATAAAAGTAACAAATTATATTGATCTCACAAGAATCGTAAAAAATGGCAAAAATCGCCATTAGTTATTTATCGCAAAAATTTATTTATTGATCAGCTTTTTACAAACTGACTTCATGTACGGCAAAATACAAAAAATGTTTACGAAAGCTGCACTCTTTATCTTTAAAACATTTTTTGATTATTGTCGATAGGATACTTTGATCAAAAGATATCGATTTTTCACCGTCGAGTTAATACAAATTGCCGATCGCTTCAACCGTTGTTTTTGAGAGAAAGGTTCATTCTACCTAAAAAGTGCTAATAAACATTTTTGTTTAAAATTACCTCAGATACATTTCATTTAAAACATTTTTTTCTACGGCTTACAGATTCTTGGTAAATCGATTTTTTTCTCTCTTCTTCTTCGTAGGGGGCTAACTTCGAGGGGGTTTTAGGAAGAATCCAGGGGATTAAGGTAGGGAACTTTTTTGTATCTTTTTGCGGGGTCCAAAATTGATATTCTCGGCAAAATTCAGCTTGTTTGTATGATTTTAAAGGGTCAAATTTCTGACGACGAATATATTAAACAACTGTACTTGCCTAAATAATGACTCTAGATACATTTTTAGCCGATTGCATTCGATTCTTTGAAACTTAAATGTTAAGATATATTAAAAAAATTTCAATATTTTATCAAAATTATTATTAAACAAACAGTTTGAAAAAGAAACACAGACATTTCTAATAACATATTGAACAGATTTCGAAAAAACACAACCTAAAATAAACCTTCTATGACTAATAGAAACCAAGATAGCAATTTTGTTTTAAAATCATATTTCCATTGTCTATTTATATAACATTAAGTGCTGAAAATTAAATAGATTGTTAGTGAAGATCTACTCTTTCTGATCCAATTTATAGATGATATATACAGAAAAGGTAAAAAAGGTAAACTTAAGTTGATCCCGTTAACTCAAATTTAATATTAATTAAATTGAAACGAAGTAGAAAATTTCTCGACTTGTAACTATCACGCTGAATATTATTTTTTTTATTAATTAATTTTTTCTACAAAAGTATATTAAGTTTGACTATTATTTCCTAAGAAATATTTAAATTTTAATAGTTATGGTTTATTTATTTATAAGAAATATATAATATTACCTGTTTATAAATTAAAACTCCAAAAGTGTTTATTTAATTAAAGTTAATTATTAATAAGTATACATTTATATAATTAATATACATCAATCAATGAAATTTAAATATTGCATACGAAATAATATAGGCGAGCTATTTACCCCATAAGCAGAGTATAATATGAACCGACTAATTTTTTTGCATTTCTGCCGCAACAAATCTTTTTTATTTGATTTTATTATGATTATTATTTTCTTTAAATAAAGTTCAAATGTTTTTTTTTATTAAATTTATAACAAAAAAAAAAACAATTTCCTGAATCGTTTCAAGTAATTTTTTTTAGGCGTATCTCATCGAAATAAATACTTTTTCTATTTTGATAATTTTTCGAAGAATGCTTCTTTTTGAATTATTTACATGTTTTTTTTTTGAAAATATGCCTTAATTAGTGATTTTTGGATTTTTTTCCTAAAAAACTACCAAATGAATTTTATAAAAAGCTTATTTTTTTAATTTTCAAGGACAAGTAAGAATATTTTGACAAGAATAAATGGATTCTATCTTGCTCAAAATATTTTTTTTTTTGGCATAGGCATTTGCCATTCAGCCAATCACAACTTTTTTAAAGTTCTTCCCAAAGGAAAGAAAAGATAAAAAAATAATTATCACAATATATTTATTATTGGTAATTTGGTTATCAATGAAACAAACATGGTCACTCGCATCTCGTCTAGGGACCTATCAAGACATTAAATTAAAACACAAACTAGACCGGGTCACGGATAGTAGGTTTAAAACAAATGGGATAAAACAAAGGTTACTATTTTTTTAACTGGACTTACAAATTGAGGTTACTTTTCGAAATAGATTCTGTTAAGTAGTTATATTGCTCAAAACATGGAACTAAATATGTCGAATATACATTTCGAGCAATCTATCCCTGTATATAATAATATGCGTGTACGGTCACGGTGATAAAGACGGGGGGCGCTTAGAAATCTTTGTTAAAATTTAAAACTATGTTTTTAGCCCTAAGATAAAAACAACTTATCCTTATCAAAATATTCTTACTTATACGTGAAGGTTTTGCAGAATATAAAGCTTTTTGTAAAATTGTAATTAATTTGGTGGTTTTTTAGAAAAAAACCCCCAAAAATCAACTAAGCCATTTTTAAATAAAAAATTGGAAATAGAAAAAGTATTTACTTTGATGAGATACGTCTAAAAAAATTCGCTCTACGCGATTCAGGAAATTATATGATATTTTTTTGTTAGTAATAATTTTCGGTTTACTTGAATAAATTTTAAAAATACATGTGAACTTGAAAAATATATAGAATCGAATAAAAAAGGTTTGGAGCAGTAAAAAGGCAAAAAAAATGAATCATTATATTCCGATTCTAAGCGTTTTTTTAGGGGTAAACAACTAGCTTAATTGTAAAAGTCTACTTTTTCAAGGAAACATTTAATTAATAGAAATTTCCGATTTTTTCATAGAAACAAAGATATTGCAAATTTTTTCAGCAATCTCCAGTTTGATGTTTCTTTCTAAAAAACAACGCAGCTGGTATTTTACGCGTAGGTACCATCACTTTAACGAATTATACATTTTTACTTCTTTTTCGTTTATCCCATCTATGGATAATAAAATATTTAGATCTTCGTTTATAATCTGTTCAATTTTGAGCTATTAATTTTAATGTACAATGGAAATCTGATTTTAAGAACATAAAATTGTTATCTTGGTTATTATTGATTATAAAAGTTTCTTTTTTTTTTAAAATGTGTTTTTTAATTATGCTTTCAGTGGGCCTAGTTACGAGCGCGTGACATAAAAATTATCAAGCATATTATTAATGTTTTTAAGAAGAAAAGTCAACCCTTTTTCAAACGGTTTGTTTTATAATAATTTTAATAAAATGCTAAATATTTTTTATCATTTTTTTTTTAATTAAAGCTTCAAAGAATCGAATATAATCTGCTAAATACCTTCAGAATCATTGTTTGGACACGAACTATTTAAATATTCGCTGTCCGGGATAAAAAAATGTAATAAATCAAAACTATTTGCTCGATCGAGCTTAGATTTAGGTAGACACAAGAAATAACTACTAGATTTTTAAAAATGTCAAAATTTAGTCGTGATAAATTGTGTTTTTGTGTTACATGTAACTTACCCCACACTCCTTACTTTACTACATATGGACTAATTTACGGTTTATGTTATATCTAGATATATCTAGACATTATAAGTAGACAAAATCATATATCTAGATAACTTAAACTCTACAACAGATTATTTTATTTATTTTTCTGATCTATTTAGTTTACTAAGATTCAAATAGTCTTATCTCGACCTTACAGATTCTGTTAGTTTTCCTCTTTTGTCGCCATAAATCTTTATAATCTACAAGTTCTCGAAAGTATTCGAGAACGAAGTTCTCGAAGAAAGTTTTTATTATTATTTGTTTAAATTCACAACTTTTAATTGTTTCAGACTAAAAGATGCGTGATGGCATCTTCAGATAAAGACAAGACAAAAGTAAGTATATTTTATATAGAACTTTTTACATGAATCAAAAAACAGCTGAGTTTTTGCTCTACATTAATTTTATTATCACAAATAGAACAATATGAACACGACAAATAAATTACACAGTGTTGAAACATCAAGTGGAATAATTTTGTTATTTCTATAATAGTGCTTTTGTTAAATAGATTCCAAAACACATCAATTTTATATTTTAAAAAACATGCCGTTCAAGAAAGATCTTCCTTTTATATTAAACAAAACTATGGTTTTTAAATTTAATATCAACAGAGTCATCTGTTTGACAAAATTGTCAACAACATTTTAAGAACTTGAATAGTTCCGTTTTGTTCTTAATGTTAAGAAAATAAAAACAAAACATGTTTTATTTAAAATAAATGCACAACATAATCTACAAATGATGAAAAATAGAAATAAAACAAGGGCACAAGTAGAAATTTCCCGTCTATTTTACGACACATTTTTGTATATTTGTAAGAAGACAGATAAATACCTATTCACTAATTTACCTAATAATATTAGCTCATTAAGCGAGACAATGAATCGCTAAAAAGCACTAAACCTACCAATCTCTTTGCAGCAAGATTAATTATTGCTCTGCAACTTTTTGCATTACATTCGGGAAAGTGTAAGGAAAGTTTGTGAACAAAATTCATAGTGGTAAAATGAAAACATGAAAAATTCATTTTCAAAGTAAATGAAATTGCAGCTTAGAAAATATCAAATGCTATTTTAATGGAAATAAGCCACAATTAAAGTTTAAAATAAGTTTATTGTCGTTTCAATTTCAATGAAACTTCAATAAACTTATTTTAAACTTTAATAGTGATTATTCTCAATAAAATAGTAATTGCTTTAAGATGCTACAAGAAAATAGCTTCAGAACAAAATTAAGAAAATATCGACAGAAATGAGTTAAATTTTATTACACGAGGGTTTTCGAGGTCGCTAAATACGAATATGATACCAACGATGGATCATCAACTACTTGCTGCCCAGGATAGACCTTGTTTTTTTTTTGGAGTATGTTAATTCTATTATAAATAAGTCGCCAGTCATTACTAAAGGGATTTTCAAGGTCACTAAACACGAATATGATAACGAGAAATCTTCGAAATATCTGGTACCCAGAGTGGACTTCGTCTCCTGGAATTTTATGGTATTTTCAATCGAAATTAGTCGAAAAAGTCATTTTTAAATATTATATAAAGTCTTGAATATTATAATGGCAATGATTTTCGAGCTACCTGGTGAAGGTTGGACCTCTTTTTCAGGTGCTTTATGTTATTTTCATTCGAAATCCATCAAAAGTCAATACTCAGGGCTTATTGAACACGAATATCACGACGGTATTGGCCTCAAAGACATTTGGTACCAAGGATGACCTCGGCTCCTGGAGTTTTATGTAAATATAAATTGTAAATTACAAATTAATCAAAAATTTCAGGAGATGAGGTCTACTCTAGTCATCGCCATCGTAATATTCGTAATCATCCAAACACCCCCGAGTAATGAATTTTAACTAATTTACTAGATGGACTAAAAAACACAAAACTCCAGAAGATGAGGTACACACTGCATATACTTTACGTATCTTAAGGATCAGGGTTGTCATAATATTTGTATTTATCGACCTCAAAAACCCCCGAGTCACGAAGACAAGGTTCACAGGTTCACTCTCGGCACCAAGTAGCTCAAGAATCATCGCTTTCGTAATATACGTGTTCAGCGACCTCAAAACCCTTCCAAGTAATGACATTCGACTAAATTCGAATGAAAATATCATAAAAATTCAGGATACGAGTTCCACCTTGGACAACAGGTAGCTCGAGAACCATTATGGTTATTATATTCGTATTCAGTGTCCTTGAAAACCCTCGAGTAACAAAATTTAAATCATTCCTGTTTATATGTTTTTGATTGCAACTTTCTTAATTTCTATGCACTTTAAAAATGTATTTCTCTTATGCACAAAATGCAATTTTCATTTTACCACTATGAAAATTCACAAAGTTTATCTTGCTACAAAAAATTTAAGGTTTGTGTTTCGTCTTTGTCTTTTTGTAAGACAGATGAAAACCTAATTTCCAATGTACCTAATGTACCAACCAAGAGGTTGCACTTTTGGATGTTAGCCATTCATCGATTTAAATATTAAAAGAAAATAAAATGCATCACTTTTCAACATCGAACTTATGATTTATTTTTTTTCACATTATCTAAAACCAAATTACATATAACAGGTTTATATATAACCTATTAAATTTTTAATGCGTTGTAGCAGATGTCGTCAAACAGATCTTTTTTTGTTTTCTCTTAATCTTGGTATTAAATTTAAAAACCAATATATTTTTAAATAGAAAACAAGGATATAGATTTTAAAGAAATATCGTAAACCCCTACTTTCTATTTAAAAATCTAAAAATTGCAAGTTTGCCTCTGAGAATCATAGACGCGACAGGATGTAATTTTAAAATAAAAAAAAATTAAGTATCTGTGATTATGTTAATATGCACTAATATTTAAACAAAAAATTTATTCCGTTTGAATATTCTGCACAGTATAACATTTACAATACTATATCAAAACAAAAATAAAGGCATAATAATTGCAGTAGGCTGTGAATTTTAAATTATTTGTGTTGTCAGTTACTGCCTTTGAAGGAAATTAATATTTGATAATTATTTTATTGTAAACAAAAGTCATAACACAAAACAACAAAATAAAAAAAGGTTTTATTGTATATCAAAATAATTTAAGTTTTTTTAAAATTATAAAATTTGTTGGAAATCTTTTTCATTTAAATATAATTACAAACTATAGCAGCGCATAAAAGACTAAAACTGTGTGGGAAAAATGGTGCTTACTAAAAACATAGGCTTTTCTATCTAGTTAAATTTATTTCCTGAGACACTCCCATAAAGGTTTGTTTAGATTGTTAGCAGAACCTTGCTGAACCACTTATACAGAAATTTTTCTTGTTTGTTTTTAGTATTCTGTAATAAAACTTTTACACCTAATTATTAAATAAAAATTCGATTTAACTTACTAAGTTGAATATCATCATGTGCAAAACCTATTGGCTAGTCTTTTTATGTTGTCATTCTACCTCTCCGCCGTTTTACTGTGGAATAAGTGTACCTCTTTATTCTACTACAGCTTAAGACGGTTAATTGTTTTCGCTTTTAATGTCCACGTTTCAATACTGGCCACACATTCCGACATTTGCTGTATTAGTTTCAAGGTATAAGATTGTTCTTTTTTTGTCTAGGTCTTGGTCTAATAATGTCTGTCGAATTCATTTCTGTGTATCGTGTAGGTATTCTGCTGTATTCCTTACTCGTGACTTTTGCCTCCAATATAAATTCATTATAATTAGAATATCCTTTTCATTAACTTTGATTTTGGAATTTATGTCCATCAGCTTAGGATGGTGAATTCTATCAAAAGCTTTTTCATAATCGATAAAACAAGTAAATATATCCTTTCTGTGATCGCTGCGCTTCTGCAGAGGAAGGGAAATACCAAAAGGAACATTGCGTGTTCCAAAACCGTTACTGACGTCAAACTATGAGTCATCTGAATCTTGTCTTGATTCATCTCTACTTCGACTATGTATTAATCGTAAAAATGTATTAATTCTTCACTGCAATGATCTATTATTAGGTGCGCATGCCGCCATTTGGCATAAGACCTCACTTCTAATCTACTTAACCAGTATTCAGTATGAATCGGCGAATGAGTTAAGCATGTGAGATATAAAGGTTATTACTCTATAGTCAGCACAATTCCTCAACTGTGGATTTTTAGTAATAGTTATAAATGAGGATTTTAACCAGTCATCCTTGATCTCACCCGAGAACAAGTAATACATACATACATACTATTGTTATTATTATTTATATAAAACATATTATATATTATGATATTATTAAATGTCTATATATACTTAATATTAAATGTAAATACGTTGATTTAGTCTATGCAAGGTATGCGCCGCCACTGGAAGGTTATAATTAATTATAGCTTGTACATTTACTGAATACATTATAAAATTTGACCGATTTTTATATAACCACTAATTGTTTTATTTATAGATAACTAGCACATGTATAACACCAACACACATACTTACAGAAGCGAAGATTTCCGAGAAAATTGGCTACCTGATTGGCGATGATATTTTCTATAAGAAAACCAGTACGTTCCTAAATGTGCTTAAATGTGCTTCTCTTCTTTGAGCTTAGTTACTTGACTTACTTCTGAAACAAAAGAAAATTGATAGTGTTAAAATATTTAAATTAATAAAACTTTATTTCATACTTTAAAAGAGAGTTCATTATAAAGCTATGTTAATATGTACTAGGCAATGGTTCTAAAAAAGTTTACTAATTGTAAATCACGGATAAGCTCCCCAAGAAATGCATTTATGGTTTAAATATTATTAAAGTCGTTTTTGTAGAGCAATGAAATTTTTATACTGCATATCTTTGTTGGAACCCTTTTTTTAATTTTCTGATTCGTAGATGAGAAGTCAATACTTATTAAATTTACGGATTCGCTAAAAACATTTGTCTAGAACCTCTTCCTCATTCACCTGCACAAGAAATTAAAAAAGATCGCTGGCAACAAACGGAAACAGCTACCCCAAAAAGACAAAAAATGACAGACTATAGATCTATGATCAAGTAAAATTAGTTACAAGTGGGGAAAAACTACATCTTTGATTCATCTTAGAATAAAATTAGACAAAAATTGTCATAACAGGCCCATTGTGGGCTGAGTCCGCAGTAATAAACACAAAGCAAGCAATTTTTCGAAACACTTTATACCTGTAGTTTAACCTTATCAGAAATCAGCTTATGACGGACGATGAAAACCACTCATCAAAAAAATAAAAATTTGTGAAATCACTGTCATTACAAAATTAAACAAAAATACACCCAATTATGATCTTATCATGTTTCTAATACTAAAAAATTTACCTCAACAGGCTAACAGTTTATTACTGTATATTTTAAATGCTATCATATAATTGGTTACTTTACTGTCATGTGGAAAGTAGATAAAATAACTATGGTGCCAACACCTGCCAAAAAGCGAAATAAGGTCCAATAATATCATGTGATAAATCTTCTACCAACACTCACAAAGCTTTTTGAAACGATTCTTATGATTAGAATCGAACCTAGTATCTTAGAAAATAACTTAATACCAAACTGACAGTTTGGCTTTAAACAAAAACATGGTACCATCGAGCAGATACACAGTGTAGTCAAAACAGCTAGACGCCCTTTAAAACAAGGCATTTAACAATGCGTAGCATAATGATAAAGCCATAGATATCTCATCCCATAGCCAAAACTCTACAGAAATATATTTATAATAGATATATTTTTCTTAAGTAACCATGGGGAAGCTTGCACTTTCCTATATACGATCTCAACAGGTATCTCAACACGATTCCTTAAGGTAGTGTCGTCGATCCAATCCTATATTTATTGTACACAGCTGACATTGCAACCACAAATAATACTAAGATTCAGATGGATTCAGATAATACCATTATTTAAACTATTTAAACCAATTATAAAAATGTGCTAAAACCATGGCATGTCAAAGTAAACAATACTAAATCACCTCGCATCACATTTACGCTAAAAAGAGAGAAAATTATATGCAAAGAGTACAAAGATTCCAATATAAAGTCCTTCATGATGTCATTCAACTTGAACGTTGACTGTTCAAGAAATAACCGTCACTCAGTGTACAAACTACTTTAGGAAACTATCATCTCCAAATCTTTTTTTTCCTTGGCAAAAATTGCAATGGACCTTCCAGTTTTCCCACTGCTTAGAAGACTAAAAATTTTGAATCCATTAGATCTAACCACTAATGTGTGGTAAAAGTAAATATAGGTAAAGGGTGCTCACTATTGGGTTTAGCTCCCACTGTATTATTGTTTCTATACCTTTTATATATATTGTTTATATTTATATTGATGACAGATTGTAGTAAATAAAAAAATTCAAAAACAGGCCCATAATAATAAAAAGCAAAGTTACACGAGCAATAGAAATAACACAATACGTAAAAGCACTTGGTCCAGATAAGATGAGTATTGAAATACTTCAGATGCTGGAATAAAATTGAATTAAAGCTCTGTGTGATCTCTTTATACTAAACTAGTGAACTAAACTATATACACTCAAGGAAGAACACGAGAAAGGCGCTAGTAATTTAGAAAACGAAGAAAGGTAGGTAAAATTTGCAGAAGAAATAGGGCGATAAATAAAAAGACCAAATAATAAAAATAGTTGAATATTTAATTAAGATAACTTAGAGAAGCATGTAAACCTGAAACAACTTTTTTATCAATAGGTGGGAAATATTCGATCAGACACCAGAGTAAGCTTCCTAGTAGTGCTAAATTCCTAGAAAACCGTATTAAAATAACGATCGACCAACTTGGTCCTAAAGCAAACCTTCCTGCTTTCCATAGCTCCGATGCAGCTGGAACTAGATTAACCTCACTACTCACTGTCAGAGGTATCAGAGTGAAACTGTCTGTTAAGACATATCTAACTCCTTCTCCCGTTTCTTAATATACAACATCTTCACAAACTTGTGAATTAAACCAAAACCAAAGCATTTTCTCTAACACACTTTACTTTTTGGTCTATCTTCCAAACACCAACATTGTATGTGACACACTGCTATTGTTGTCCCAGCAATACAAACATGTGTTAAATGACGTGAGATCACTTAAGAGAGGCATTTAAACTACGCGCCAATCATTATAGGGTTTGCGAAGGACAAATTATCAGTAACGATGCAACCATAGAAGCAGGTTGTAAAAACTATTTTAAGGATCTGCTAACGAAGTAAATACAAATATAGCTCATGCAGTAGCCGGATTGAGAGATAACAGAATATCAGAGCCAGAATAATGAACCAACATACCCATCCAAAATACACGAAATAATTAAAGGTAATAAAGCACTTACGAATAATAAAACTGTAGGTATATACAATCTACCAGCTGAAATTCTCAAAATTATAGGATAAACACTAATAGATAAATTTAATAAACCAATAATAGACGTGTGAAATACGAAAGAAATTCCAGGAAACTGGAAAAAAGCAATTTTATTTCTAATCTACAAGAAGGGATAAAAACATAGCTGGTCAGAAACAGAAGAAACAGAAGATTGAGTCACTTCTCATAGCAAATCATAGGGAAATACCAAGCTGGATTCATACCGCGACGGTTTACTTTTGACCAGCTTTTTAATCTAAAACAAATATTATCTAAGGTCTTGGACTACGATGTAGATATCTATCAAATCTTCATAGATTTTCGACAAGCCTATGACATTATAAACAGAGATAAAATATATTTAATTATGCGAGAATTTGGTATACTAAGAATGTTGGTAAAATTAGAATATAAATCACTCTGATGAAGCCAAGAGGCAATAATATGCATACCAGCGAATGGTGGTACCGGTAACGAAATAAAACCTAATATTTGTCAACCTAAAAATATAGTGTTTAATACGTTCCACATAGATTTTAGGCGGACGATGTAAACATGATGGATTAAACCGTACAAGACATCCAGAACTTTGTATGGAACTTTGCCAATAACATACTCTGCCAATAGATTTGACAATAGATGACGACGCAAATTTTCAAGGGCAGCTCACATACCTGGGAGTACATATAACTAAGGACGGCATCGAGAAGGAGGAGAAAACGAGGAAGGATAATGCTTCCTAACACAGCCTACTTGTGTCTGTTGTAGGTGTTTGGATCCAAAGATATTTATAGGGAAGTAAACTTTAAAGTATATAAAACCATCATATAACCAATAGTAACATATAGTGCACAAAGAGGGGTCAATGCATGAAAAAACAATAAAAGTTATTAGTACTTAAAAAAAAGATATTAAGAACGATATTGGGACTCATTTGCGATAATATTATGTGGTAAATAAGTTTCAACTACAAGTTATATTAATTCCCATAATTAGCAAGAACCCTCCATAGCAAATTATGAAAATATGCAAAGATTGCACTTTACAGGTCACGTTATAAGAATGGATGTTAACAGAGCCTCTAATAGGACGATTAGTGGAACTGTATTGGGACGCGCTGGCCAGTAAAAACCCAAGAAAGAGGCAAAGTGAGAACCGATGCTAGAGACACCCCCATAGAGGGTGGGTAACTGATGGAGAGTAGCCTACGAAATTGATGCTTAAAAGCAGATGCTGGATGAGACCTCTGCCCGACTTGGGCTGTAGCGATATTAGAGAGAGAAAGAGTGATATCTTTAACACCACTTATGACACGAGGATATTAACTGAGTGGTCGAGTTTTTTCGCAATACGTTAAGTCACGTTTTAAAGATAGTCCTGTCGGTAATACATAGTTGAATACATATGATATAGAAAGAGAGAATTAATAGTAGGTATGGGATTAAGGAGTGGCTTATGTACGAAATAAACCATGTTTAGTATCCAGGTACTGATACAGAAATATAGAGATAAAAATTAAAATGTTTATATTTCCGTTTTTGGAAAAGCTTTGGATAAGGTCCAACATAAAAGAATGCTACAAATATTGAAAACAGAGAGACAAGGAAGGATATATATACTTTTACATCTAATCTTCAACTTATATTCAGATCAGATATCTAAGGAAGTCTTAATGCATAATTATTGTTATGGATTCCAGAGCATAAAACAATTTCTTGTTATTAATAGTATTGCTAAAAAAACCTTAACTTAAGTTTTATAGTAACAGAAGTGATTTGTGGTGTCTCAAAAATCCGACCATGTACAGCTATTGCAGAAAATAGAAAATGGAACAAAACTCAGCCTAGTACGATTATATGACTAGCCAATATTTGAGAATCTGAAGGCTTAAACGTCAAATAAATATTCTGATTTATAATTGAAGTTCATTCGTAATTAAATTGTTAATAAAAACAAGTATCGTTAAAGTAAAGTAACAGATAGTGAATTTATTGCGACTGGAGAGGCAATGAGAGATACATTTAGCATAGTTTTATAATTGAGATTAATGAACAATAAAAATTAAACAAAATTTAGCCCATTACATGCATCCACAACCATACACTATATCTTGTTTAATAAAAGTATCTATTAACAAAATCTTGCTAGATGCCTTACTAACTGTATCTAGTATACTAGCTACGAAACTGCTTCTTTATGGTAACTTGATTCAAATATTTTGCT